CTGATGAGGATGTTACAGAAAAACTGAATGAAGTATATGAAGAGCTTAAAGCACTCGGAGCAGATTCGGCTGAACCCAGGGCTCGGCGTATATTGGCTGGTCTTGGTTTCTCAGCAGCTATGCAGGACCGTGCTACTAAAGATTTTTCAGGAGGTTGGAGAATGCGTGTGTCCCTTGCTCGGGCTTTGTTCTTGGAACCCACTCTATTATTACTTGATGAACCCACCAACCATTTGGACTTAAATGCTGTAATCTGGCTTGACAATTATTTGCAAGGATGGAAGAAGACTTTGTTGGTTGTATCTCACGACCAGAGCTTTTTAGATAACGTGTGCAACGAGATCATTCATTTGGATCAGAAGCGATTATTTTACTACAAAGGAAACTATAGTATGTTCAAAAAAATGTACTCACAGAAAAAGAAAGAAAATATCAAAGAGTACGAAAAACAGGAAAAACGGATAAAAGAAATGAAACAACAGGGTCAATCCAAGAAACAAGCGGTAAGCTTTTCAGATTTAATTATTAGTATAATTATTGCTTTATAAAATCTATTTGCTTAAAATTTGATTTTTTAGGAGAAAAAACAAAAGGAAGTATTGACCCGTAAACAGGAAAAGAACCGAGGTAAAACTAGCAAAGGTGCTGGTATGGACGATGACGACAATGCTGAACCTACACAGTTATTGCAAAAGCCTCGTGACTACAACGTTAAGTTTTCATTCCCAGATCCCAGTCCTCTACAGCCACCTATACTTGGTTTACATAGTATGTTTTTATTGATAATTATAACAATCTACAATGGTTATTTTATTATTTTCTGTATTCATATCGTTTCTACGTTTCATAATACAATTTTTTGTTGTGAAGGTACGAGTTTTGCTTATCCAAACCAAAAACCACTATTTAAAAACGTCGATTTTGGAGTAGATCTCAGCTCCAGGGTAGCGATCGTTGGACCTAATGGTGTGGGTAAATCAACGTTCCTTAAGCTGTTGACCGGAGAACTACAACCCACTGAAGGCGAAATGCGCATGAATCACCGAATGGTAAGTACAAACGATAATAGTTGTAATCTACCTAACTCGTACAGCGTGTTTACTGCTAATTACTATACATATGTATACGAGTGTATATTAATGTATTTTTATAGAAACTTGGAAAATACGATCAGCATTCTGGTGAACATTTAACAGCCGAAGAAACGCCCGCCGAGTATTTGATGCGGCTGTTTGATCTCCCGTACGAAAAAGCGCGTAAGCAACTTGGTACGTTCGGACTGGCTGGCCATGCGCACACCATCCGCATGAAAGACTTGTCTGGTGGACAAAAAGCACGTGTGGCCCTAGCCGAATTATGTTTAAATGCTCCTGATGTCATCATACTAGTAAGCTCATCGTGTTGCTCTACCTTATATCAAAACTGTTTTAATTACTCGAAAATTATGAATTTGAAAAAAATATCAACGGTGTTATTTTACAAAATTGTTGTTTTTTTGTTACAGGACGAACCTACAAATAACTTAGATATAGAATCCATTGACGCTCTAGCTGAAGCGATAAACGACTATAAAGGAGGTAAGTGGTATTAAAAAGTATTCCATTCGTGTTTTTGATCAAAATAAAAATCTGAAATAAATTATTTATGCCTATAATTAACACGGTCTTAACATGATCAACAATGTGAAAAGTGTGAAACCTTTGTTTTAAAGTGGAAATGTTTTGTGAATTTCAAACGTAGTCGTTAAACTTGATTGCTAGTTAAAATCGCGAAAATAAAAGTTTTAACAGCAAAAAGTAAGAAATATAACTGGATATATCTTTATAATATAATAAGTAGGGCTCGGATTTTAAAGCATAATAAATAACAATAAAAGCACAAAATTGTTTAAAAAAAGCAAAAATGAAGTATATTTATTTTTAAAAAATGCAAAAAAAAGCATAACAAAAATTTTATAAAATTGAATAAAAAAAATTGAAAAATTAATTTAAATTAAAAAAAAAAAATTTACTACCATATATTTGGCAAGATATTCAGAAGTGAAACTGACTATTGTCTGACAGGATGTTTTTAAACATAGAAAATGACCGCTCTTTATCCACCGAAGTAATCGGTGCATACTTCGATATCGATCTTATACGATTAGTGAGTACTAAAAGTAGTTTCTATACGTTTAAGATCGTTCCACACTAATAGTACGGTCACAGTCCGACTATGGGTAAAATATAATATCTATATTTATATTAATTTTATAATTATTATTGTGGGTTTTCACATTTCTTATAAATTATGTAAACATTTTTTACATTACTATAGCATAACAAACAAATAAAAATTCCACAGCTAGAATAACTGAAAAAAGCAATAAAAAAGCAAAAATAAATTTCGAATCAGATTAACGTGAAACGAATTTATATATAAAAATTAGATTTCTATCTTAAATTTATAAAAAAAAGCATTTGCTTTAAAATCCGATCCCTAATAATAAGTAATATTTAACATTAAAATCAAAATACTATATAAAATAAAATTTAAATTTGATATTTTTCCTAAACTTGTGTAAGAATATAAAATACATCATCACACTATGCTATGATCACAAGATATATATAATATATAAAGCTTGACAGCGGTTAGGTTTAACTATGGCTTATCTTTATTACTTGATCCAAGACGCAATAATACAAAATTACATTATTGATTATCTAGATATTATAAAGGTGTATAGGACCTATACTATAGGTACCTACTAACGAAAATAATTTCTTTTCGCTATTAATGTTTTCGCTGTTGTAACATTTCGCGATTTTCACATGGACTCGTTACACTTACTTGCCAATTTTATCTTTAAAATAAAAAAAAAAAATACGAAAATATTTCAATATAAATTTCAATAAGGGGTTGCATTATTAAAATTACATGTATGAGAAAATGTATTTTCCCTAGTAAATACTTTCGTACAAATTTGGCGGTCATCGTGCTAATTTTTGCTGTACACGTGTTAATATTATTGGCATAATATATTTTTAATTATTTTATTTGTTGAATAGAGTAGGGTTTGTTGCAGCACAATGTTAGTCAAAACGTATTCACTGTATTTTAGTGTAAATCCAAGTGTTTATATTTTTCTTGGTATATCATATTTTATCTAATAAATTTCATTAATATTTTAGATTTAATTCATTAGCTATTCGAATTTCCAGAACACTAACAATTCTAATAAAATGAGTACATGCGTGTGTTTTATACTCGTATTGTAATATTTATTTCACTTCATTATGAATTATGAAAAATGATATTTCAATCGATTTAGACGTGTCCGAAAATGTACACAATTTTTCACTCAATCATTTAATTATGAATTTATCCGGTTTACGTTTTTAATATCCCAAATTTAAGTTTAAGTTTAATGTTTTGGTTTATGAATCTATTGCGTTTATTTAATTATTTCTATGATTCAATAATAGAGTATAATTTTAGTATATCAAGATACGTATGTATTATTATCTCTTTACCTTCTAATTTTTATAATTGTAAATGTTTACTATACAAGAGAAATTACATCGCATTCGTTTACAAAACGCAGGTGTCATAATCGTATCTCACGATGAACGGCTGATTCGTGAAACAGAATGTACGCTTTGGGTTATTGAAGACCAGACTATTAATGAGGTGGACGGTGATTTTGACGACTATCGGAAAGAGCTTTTGGAATGCCTGGGCGAGGTTATCAATAGTCCGAGTATCGCGGCTAATGCAGCTGTTCAACAGTAACATAAACACTATCAATTAATTTTATATTACCTTTATTGGTCAGTTCGTGTATGCTAAAATATTTGCGATTACATTATATGATGTTGTTGACGTATTTGTGATAATATTATCATCTTCGAATGTTGTAACTTACTGTAATTCCTATATACGTGCCCTGTTTATACAATATTAATGAATAAAAAAAACATTAAGATACTGAATTTTTTTTTTATAACTGTGACTTATAGTACTATATAATATAAATGGCTAGTAATTAACGTACACTCGGAATCTGCAGCCCTGCAGGTATATTCAATTAAGATTTGACAAAATATCCAAATAGTTTGCGTGAACATTTATTATTTATACTACAGTACCTACTTTCCTTGTGATTTATTTACCTTAGTAAAGCACGACGAGAATGACATTGTTCATTTTAAATACACGTAAAAAAGTAGATATTTCGAACTTCAAATAACTATTAAAATAGTACAATTGCATAATTAAACTTTTATTTGATTTTATAGGACCTATGTAATATATTTTTATCTTTCTTAGATTCTGAATTTGTTTAAGATTACTCAAAATGAAAATGCAAATACTGCCAATATCCATTCAACAATTCACAACATTCTACAATAATTAATGATAAATAATAAATTACCGTGTTACAACTTGTTTATTTTAGTACAAGAAGGTATTTTAACTATTTATTAAAAATCAAATAATTAATAACATTTTCAATTTTTGTTTCAGCAGGAGAGGTAAATGTAATATGATCATACCATAATATGATGGCGAAAATGGTACAGCATACTATTTATGTTGATACGTTGCGCAAATTATGTTATTTGTATTATTTATCTATGATTTACACCTCAAAAGTCCTAATGCCATGTCATAAATTATAAAAATTATGATTTTTTTTATCCACTAATATAAATACCTACAAAGATACTCGAAATATGTATTATATTTTTTT